AGGTGGTATAGTGGAGATCAACTTGAGTTTGGTAAGAAGTAAACAAAAGCGACTGGGAAGGAGAGACTTCGTGAAGACATCCGCTGGTTGATCTGTAGAGGAGACAGAAACAAGCTTCACAGTTTTATGTGCAACATATTGTCGAAGTGACAGTCAATCTCAACATTCTTGGTGCGCTCATAAAAGATATCATTATGAGACATCTTTATAGCACTCTGACTATCACAATGTAGAGCAGTAGACGACGACTGAGGTGTACCGAGATCAGTAGCCGACATAACCATAATAGCTCGGAGGTGAAATCAGCAAGAGCACAGTACTCAGACTCAACACTCGATCTGTAAACTAAGTTTTTCTTCTTACTACGCCAAGAGACAAGTGAATCACCCAGAAAGAAGCAGTACCCAGTAATGGAATGACGATCAGTAGGATCTCCAGCCAAATCTGCATCAGAATAGCCGCTAAGTGTCAAGGAAAAACATACCGAGAAGTATAAACCATGCAATAGAGTGCCCTTCACATAACGAAGAATGTGCAACACATCAGAATGATGTGTCGTTCTCGGAGCAGCCATAAACTGACTCACAATATAAACAGCATGAGCTATATCAGGCCGAGTGACAGTCATATATCAAACTCCCAACAAGCTGACGATATAACGTAGGGTCCTCAAGAAGAGAATCATCTAGTGGAGTAAGACGAACATCATAATTAAGAGCTGTAGAAGATGTCTGACAAACTGTGAGACCTGCCCGAGCAAGAAGATTAGAGGCATACTTGGCTTGAGACAAATAGAATCCATCGGAGGAATCAGAAATCTCAAGACCCAAAAAATTGTGAAGTTCGCCCAAACTCTTCATCTCAAAATGCTGACGAAGATAGTCATGTAAATCAGAAGTACCGGTAACATCATCTCCTGTGATTATCATATCCTCAACATAGAGGAGCAAAATAATGATCCCAGTTGAGGAGCGTCGAAGAAACAAAGCAGAATCGTGACCACTAGTAGTGAAACCAAACTGAAACAAACGTGGCAAACCAGGCACGAGGCACTTGTTCGACTCATAATATGTATTAATGTGACGTATTTAGATATATTATAATTTATCATCACAAAACAAACTATATAATGACGAATTGTTTTTAAGCGTTATATTAAAGACAATAATAATACAATGATTTATTTTCGTCATAGTGACTTCCGTCACAATATGTATTAATGTGACCAATTTAGATGTATTATAACGCATCGTCACAAAGTAAATCGGAAATACAGGTAACATCATCTCTTGTGATGACCATATCGTCAACATAGAGTAGCAAAATAATGATCCCAGATGAGGAGCGCCGAAGAAACAAAGCAGAATCGTGATCACTAGTAGTGAAACCAAACTCAAACAATGCAGAACTGAACGTGGCAAATCAAATAAACAAGTAATGAATATATATGCTCGTTTTATATTATCTTACAACTTAAGAGTACGCATCAACTACTGAAGGTCTAGATTATAACTACGATCAGTAAATCTTATAATCTTATCCTTTCATGGTCATGTTCAATACTAAGTACTAGTGCAATCCTTCAGTCAAAGATCAACTGAATCAAGACTACACTACAGTCTTCCTCCAACAGCCTGTCTAGACTGTGAACAATTAGTTTATGTCATACAAGGACCGATAGTATGATCTTTCTGTTCGACACGACAAACCATACTATCTACAATGTAAAATAAAGGAGTTATGTTTGGATAAATAAATAAACTGCAAACATAAATACTTTGACTAAAAATGATTGCCAGATCAAAATGGAATTGCTAGAATTTATAAAACGAGCTTAAACAACATACCTCTAACACCTACAACTTTTTTATACTATTTTGGAAAGGAAACATATCTAAAAACATTTAAATTTCACATTTTGAATGAAAGACATTTTCTAAACTTTTTGTACAAAAAAAAAAAAAAAAAAAAATTGCCTCAAAATATTTAAATTTAATATGTATATGAGTACATGTATATGTATATATATATATATAGATAGAATATGACATAATAATATATATATATAATACATTTAATAAAACCTATTTTCATTTCCCTCCAAAAGGAGTTACATTTTTTTAATTAATTACTCACTAATCTGCTAAAACCATTACACCTTTATATATATATTTTTATTATTTATTTTTTTTGGATCAATTCTCCCTATATATTAATCCAGAACGCGCGGAGCCTACATAGCTGCTTCTGGTGCTTCATAATCCTATGTGACAAAATTACATGTTTCGTTATTAGGCTTGGGTAAATTTTAATTTAATTCCAAACCAAAAATAATTAGGTTCGAATTACCATAAATATGTTGATTATTTATGGTCATGTTACATGTATTAATTGCATTTTAATATCATTCCTTATTATAACTCTTGAATTGTATATATATATTTTAAAAGTTAATAACTTTTGTATTTTTTATCAGTTTTACATATGCAATATATCAAATTAATCTTCTAGTTTTACATATGTAATATATTAAATTAATCTTCTTTTGATGAGTTTCGATTTAACATCCATATTGCATGTATAAAAAAATAATTTATATTTATCTTTATAACAATAATTAAATTATTTTTAATATTAATTAGAAAAATAAAATTATTTATCAACTAATATATTTATATTTCAAGTAGTTATATGATATAAGTTATAAAAACTAATATAATATAACACATGTAAGTCATAAGTAACACATATCATTCTAAAATATATAGTAATAAACTTTTTTTGTAAAAAAGTAAACTAAATTTAATATAGTTTTTTCATTAATTTTAAAGTTTAAGAATAATTTTTAACAAGCACCTGTGTAATACACGGGTGTTGTACTAGTTACTAAATTAATTCTAAATTTGGTAGCAAAATATTTAAATGAAGGCTAATGTTTGAACTTAAAGTTGATTGACACATTCAGAGCTGTAACCGCTATATTTGGTTGCATTGTTGGAGAAAAATATGATTGACACATATTTTTTTTTCTAAAAATCAAGAAACACCAATATTTTTTTTTATTTATGTTAATTTTCTTAATATATTCCACAAATATGTAAATTATTTTATTCATGTTACTAATGTAAACGTTGCATGGTTAAAATAAAATTTAAATCTCAATTAATTTTGAATGATAAAAATAACTTAAGGAAAAGTAAGAATTTTTATATGATAGAAGTACATGTCTAATTAATAAATACAAACAAAAACGTGTTTTATATCTGTGCAAATGCACATGAGCAAATACTAGTATTATATATGATAATATTATATATTGGACCGGCTCGTCAGGTCAGCCGGATTAAATGGATCAGCGGTCTGGTCGAACCGGACAAGACAACCATAATGAAGGGAAGAAGTAGATGACGAAGATGAGCGGATTCAGTGGTACCAAACAGGTACCGGTTGCTCGAGGATCTGGTCGAGGAAAGACGGTCAGATGAGCGTTGTCGTGAAATCGACCACCTTGCACTTCAGGGAACAACTCAGCAACTACTCCAGACTTGGTCGAATGGTGGAATATATAAGGGAATCCCCAGCACGTGTAAAGAGGACACGCGACGCGCAACGAGTGGTCTAGGGCGATAGCGATTTCTGACATTCTCTGACACACTATGACGCGTTTTCTGACACCCAGATAGTGGAGGCGCGCGATCCTACGAACGAGCAGAAGGGCTATCAGCTTGACTCGCCCAAGTCGCGCTTGGGGAACATGTAACTTGTCCCTATAAATAGGGACGAGACTCTTCATTTTCACACGATCTCTCATACTTTTACATACTTACATATATATTTGTATCCTCTCAAGATCTGACTTGAGCTTAGGAGGCTCTCCACCGAAAAACACCTCCGGTGTGAGAGTTACGTGCAGGTTCGGCGTCGGCGAGGAAAGCAAGCTCGAGACAAATTCCAGCCGGTCAGAGTGCTAGACTTGTATTATTGGCGCCGTCTGTGGGACTCTTGTTCGAAAAGCTGTGTTGAGTGTTCAGCTATGGCGGACGGGATTCCTCGAGTGAATTTGCAGTCGTCGTTCGATGATGCATGGACGAAAACTTAAATTGTTGCTTGTCCTCAAGCAACTTAGAACTATAAGCACATAGATGGATAAGAAAACAAGTACGTGGAATTTTACTCAGGACCTCACAATTCTCACATAAATGCATAGCTCAAACAACTCAAATCAATTCATCCGGACTCAAGACGAATTTATTCTAAGAACGCAAACACATCAAGTATCAATCCAAGTGACCACCATAGTTTGTCAATCTCTTTTACGAATGCACCGATCAATGCAACTAATGACACCCCTCTCTTTGCTAACAAGTCTAGTTTCTTTCCGTTTCTAGCCGAAGTCCAAACGTCTCATTCTCCAAACTTTTTTTTTTTCTTTTTCTTTTCTTTTTTTTTTTCTTTTTTAGAGTAGGGAACGACAGCTCCGTCACAACCCGCGAGTTTTAGCCTTTCGTGCTCGTATAGATATGGAAATAATTAGAATTATACACTAGAGCCTCCACGGATTGGCAGCTGTTGCAGCCCATGACTCTTTTTTTTTCTATATTTTTTTTTTCTGTGCCAAACGGCTTTTCAACTCCACCAATTATTCCTCCATCCACTT